TTTTAATATCATTCTTCAGCAGAAAATAATTAAACCTTATTAACTCTCTAGTTAGTTATGATTGTGTCCTGTTTTGTATATGAGGTTAAATAAATCATTTTTCATAAATACTGTTTTGATATTGATGTTTTCCTGTATAATTATTGGTTTCTCACTTTCTGAAAACTTAAGGATTATAAAGATGTATTAGTTTAAATTTTGGTTTATAGTTACATTTTCTAGTATTTTAAAGCATAATATAAAATAAGAAAATTAAAACTTCAGTCTTAATATAGTAGTCACTGTTCTGTATTACTAGTTTGTCTAGTAAAGCTACTGGATCCATTTAGCAATGTATAGTACCTAACAACAGTATTATTACAACAGTATTGGCAGCTGTTTATTTGGTAGCTGTTTTTTTTAATAATACTTATGCATCAAAGAGGAGGAGTAATATATTTGCATAAGTAGTAAGAGCAGATAAATTATAATTTACTTGAGAATAGGCTGGGTAATCATTGTTATCCAGTTAGTATGTGATAATGCCATGAAGTTGCCTCAGAAAGTCTTGATATTTCTTGTTTTCTGGTAGCTGGCCTTTGTGCCACCATTATGAGGGGATTATCTATTTAAAAGTTCTCAAATAAGTTTATGATTGATCAGTAAGGTGAAATGAAACAATAATCATTCATAAAAGGCATTCAGGTACTCAAGTAACATTTACTAAGGTCAAGTCCAGCTTCTTGACTGTGTGAACCTGCAATCACACAAGACCCTGCTCTTAAAAGGCCCCCTTACTTACTTACCTTGCATTTTCATTTTGTTTTGAGCTCCGCAATTTTACCCAGTCTTGATCAAGACACACACACATACACACACACACAATTGTATCCCAAATGGACTGACTAGCATTCTGACACGATGTAGTCTAAAATATAGTCTATCTATTAGAATAAGACGGTTAATGATAAAGACTGGAAACTAGGGAACATGCAGGTGTGGAGAGCCCAACTTGAGGAGTTTAAAGGCAAGAAGTAAAGCAAAAGACAGATTCCAGTCTCCTGAGAATAGTCAGGTTATGTTTTGAAATAAGATCATAAAAATTCCGACTCGTTACCTTGGCCCTCAAGACTGGATAATCCAGACCCTGCCTACTTCTTATCTCCTACTACTACCTCATCTCCTACTACTCTCTCCACACTCCAGTTACACTTCTTTATGTTCTCTGAACCATCCAGATTTGATTTCCTGCTGTGAGACTTTTGTCTTGCCTGGAATGCTGTGTTCCCCAGCCATAGCTGACTCACAGTTTTAGTCTCAGGTAAAACATCACTACCCAGTCTGAATCTGCCCTCCTCTACTTAGCCATATTTGATAGCACCTTTCAGTGTCTGAAATTTAGTTCATTGCATTGTTTCCTTTACATTGTTTTTCTGCCACCACGGGATGTAAATGCTGTAAGAGCGGAGACTTTACCTTATTCACTGTGATATCACAAGAACTTAGTACAGTATAATGCCTGTATGTGATTACACTGGCTAAATGTTTAGTGGATGAGGGCAGGAAGGAAAGCAAACATAAGGGAGTCAGGGAGTTAAGGAAACTTCCAAGAGCAGTGAGCTATTGTGCTAATGAAGATCTCATGTTTCAAGAAGGCTAAGATGACTCCTTTGAAGCAGTTTTCCCTTGTTTTCCACAGTGTAGGGCTGTGTGCTGCAGATTCTTATGCTTTTACTCCCTGACAAACGGACAGTATTCTTGAACTGGTTAAGTTCTTGAAAGAAAAAAAATGTAATAGCAAAGGAAATATTGCCTTTGGGTACAGAATAAAAGAGATAGTAAAATAACTCTGACTGATCTTTTATATTTTGGTTTCTCAAAACTTTCATGTCATTCAAAAAGGATGAATTCAATAAAGTTTAGCCCAGGGAAGGGAATCATTCTTGATTTTGCCAATATTCTCAAACAACCCTAGGATTCTATGCATAGCTGATGTTATCTTGAAGTATGTCTGCTGTAATAAGGTATACAACAAATTGCCACCATTTCTAAGTGATGCTATGTTTTTGTCTTTTAAGTGTCATACTGAATCTATAGGTCAGACTTTACAAGGAATATTTACATTTTTAATAATAGCTTCAATGAATTAGTAAAAAGTAGGCATTTCTAACTTCTTACTCTGGTCACAGCATCTAGCCAGATTACTTACTAGGTAGTCAGCATTATTATATCCTCCTCCTCTCTTGAAATGACCTTCAGGTGAAACATCTCTGTACTGATACATTTTTTTCCTCCCTTCTAGTCCTTCCCAAATGACCTGATTGAAGACTATCCCATCTTATACATTAATCTGATTGATTTTAGAGGTGCATGTGCATTTCATAAAGAAAATCTCTCTTCAAAAACCACTGGGGTCTTGAATAATAAGGCTGACATAAATGTTCTATTTTCATAGAGCCAAAAATGAACCTTGGGAGATTTCTTTCATGGAGTAATTTTGTCATTTTATTTACAGAGAAACTAGGGAGAAGAGTGGCTGCTCACAGTCACTTGGGTAGTGGTCGACAGAGATGGAACGCAGACACTAGACCAGTACTCTTCCAAAGGCAGCGCCCTTCCAAACATAAAACCAATGACATGGCAGACTCCCAAGTGTTTCTTTTTGAACCGATTATAGATTGTTAATTTCAGAAGAAAATAACAGAGTTTGTGCTATGAGTTTCTTTGCTGGGTCTTCTTTCTTCTAAATTATAGAGAAAGACCTATTTCATAATTTTATTGTCTGTCAGTCTGCTTACACAGGATAGTCACAAGAAGTTGTTTGAAGGATACTGCCAGTTTTTGGTGGGAGCTACCATATCTGTGTTTTTCTCTTTCAAATTGTTATATTTGTCAAAGCCTTGACAAATGGAAAGGAAAAAAGAGAATGACTTACTGGGAAAATGACCTTAAAGCAGACATAATAGAAGACACTAATTATAAATAGAAGGTGCCAAGAGGGTACAGTCAAATGTTTTGTAATTATTTAGTCAGCTATGGTATTCGTGAACTAAAAAATATTCTGTGTTTGCTCAGTCACCCCTTGCCAACCATAGGATATTAAAGTGACCTACTTTAAGAAGTTATCTTGTCTTTTGCAGACAAACCCTGTATTCATATTACCACTATTGTTGATTAACCATTTTTGTACTCTCATTTTGTCTGTTGTTCATAACACGTGTCAAATGTGCTAAATTTTCACTTTCAAGGACTATTTTACAAGCCATATTTAACTACTTTTTAAAATATCTCTGAGCTTACCCATATCTTTCTTTGTGAATATAAAACCAAGGAGTACCTTATATATCCTTACTGCTCTCTCTGGAAGCTGGTAACTTAAATACTATGAGCCAAGGAACCAATCTCTTGGTTTGGAAAGGCTGACAGTGCTCTGTCCTAAGAAAAAATCTCATTGAGGTCCTGTCTTTACTTTTGTTCTCCCTAACAATATAAACCTAAGCCCTCACACTGAGTATGAACTGAAGATCCCCAGTCAGTTGATCAAGATAATCTGAGAGATTTTCATAGACCTCTAACTGGTCAGTAGCTTCTGACAAAAGTATCTTTCTCATCAGCTTTTAAAATTATTATTATTTTTTAAGAGATTGTTTGGGCTTCATTATTAAACCAATTCTCTCCATGACTGGTAGATATCACACTTTTTCCTTCTTCCCTTTCCTTCTGGTGATCTGAGTCCTGTAGGCAAGTTAAGAGTCATTAAAATCCCTTGACCTCATACCTTCTTAAGTACTTTGAAGTAAATATGTAAGTACTTTGTCAAGGAAGGATGGAAATGAGGCTCTTGATTACAAAGACCTTGCAAGTCTATTGAAGATGTATTATTTTAATCTTTGCAGTGATGGCAGAGATAAATCTAATTAATTGCTTTTGATAAGGACTCTGTGTGTTGAGGTGTTAAGATATAATTGGCTATAAACTAACATATTGCAGATGCACAGCTTTCAAGAAGAATCTAATGTGAATTGTGCCCATTTTTCTTTCAAGTTGTTTATTAGTAACATTTTAAAATGAAGACATTTAATCATATGGTAGAATTTGGAGTGGGAGAGAAATGCTTTTCTAGAAGATACTATATTTAAGACTCTGCAAACATATTTATCATTTAGAAACTAATGGATTTTTAAAAAGTATTAATTAACAGCAAAAGAAAAAATATTTAGAAATTAACTTAAAAATGTATAAGATCAATATAAAAATAACTCTAAACCCGTGTAGAAGGTCACAAAAGAAGATCTGAACAAATGAAAAGACCAAGTTCTTGGCTAAGGAGACTCAAAATAACATCATAAGGATAGATACTAATACATCCTTCATTAGTTTGTAAATTTACTTCAATTTTCCAATAAGTAGCATTGTTTTATTTTTTAACAAAAATAAGGAGATTTTGAAATTAGTATATAAAAATAAGCAGCCCAAAACAATTAGGAAAGCTTCATTAACAAAGCAGCCAAAGAGGGTTGGTCTCACTGGATACAGAAACATTTAGTATTATAAAGCCTCAGTTATTAAAATAGATTAGTTTTGGTGCATGAATAAGTAAACTAACCAAACAGCCAGAGTAAAAATTACAGAAGTAGATCAGAATAATTATGAGATTGGTATATGGTAAAGCACACTTCAAATCAGTGAGGAAAAGATCAATTGTTTAATGAATATGGCTGTGTCTTGCAGGGAGAAAATATGAGTTGGACTCATATACCGCATACTAAGTTGGATTCCAAATGAATCGAAGATTTTAAAGTGAAATCATAGAAGTACTAGAAGGAGCACAAGAGTTATTTATTAATCTTGGAGTGCGCAGTGGTTTCTAATTTGACTTTAGTACCAGAAGTCACAAAAGATTGATAAATTTAGCCATAAACTTTTGGATAATGAAAAAATCCATAACCACAGCAAAAGAGGGAAATATGTTTGTAATTCTTAGTACTGACATTTAATCTCTCCAGGATTTCAGAAACTGAATAAAAAAGTAATGAATAGAAAATTTGGCGAAATAAACAGTTCATATAAAAGAAATACTAAATGTTTCTTCAAGAATAAAGGGAAAAAAACGACCTCACTGAAACTCTCATAATGCATCATTTCATCAACAAGACTGGCAGAAATTCAGAAGTTATATGCTACATCATCTTGGTAAGAATTTGGAGTATCAGACAATATTATTGGTGGAACAGTGTATTAGTACAACCCCTATTGACGGCAATTTGGCAATACCATTAATTTCATTAAGACTGTATGATAATTTCATCAAGTTAATATTTACTGTAATTTCTGGAAGAAAATATTTTGTTTGTTTCCTTTTTGTTTTTTCTATTTGTGATCTAAAAGAGATCTGGATTTAGAAAGTATTGACTATCATGTCTCTGAGACTATAAAGTACTAAGTCTTTATAAAGTACTCAAGCACCATATACATAATTATAATTATATGGAATGACATTTCTAATTATATGGAATGAAAACTGGTTTAATGAGGTTGTAAGGAAGGAGATTTATATTACCAAAGTAAAGTTAAGGTTTTGAAATAGATTCCTCATAGAAGATTGTTTTTGCCTAGTGTTCCATTTTATTTTTGCTGATCTAACCTTTTCCCTCTTAGAACTCACCAAACCAGACAAACAATATATTTCCTTTGAATGTGCAAATAGAAAGAGAACAAAATGTTTTACTTCTGTGTCATTCATTAGTAATGTGACCTTGTAGTGTGTGAGCTCTGTGTAATAGAACTAGAACTCCTGCTGGCCAAGGGCCTTGCAAGTTTGTATAAAGGGTAGAAAAGAGGGAAAGGATAGACACTTTATGAAATGATATATGAGATACAATAATAGATTTTAAAAAGCCTGCTGTTTGGATGGATAAAATTAAACCCATATCTGATATTGTAAAGAACTTTAATCAGTAGTGTCATCTGCTTATGATACAACATACTTCTATACTTTCATCTCGCTTTTTTGGAGAATGGAGTTTTTCACATAAATTAGTTTCCTAGCATTCTGTGGCAGAAAAAGCTTGCATTTAGAGCCAGGAAGAACTGAATTCAAATTATTCTTTACAGCTGGCCTGTGAAAATAGACAAGTCACATGGTTTCTCCATGACTTAGTTTTCTCTTATGTAAAATTGGGTTAATAACACTTGTTTGTGGTATTGGTGTCAGGTGAAAATCCTCTAGGATAGTGCCTGACCTTATTCATGTTTAATGATGGCTGTCCATCCCTGGCAGTCATTCTTCCTGGCTTAGCTCCCAGTGCGTACCACTGTCAGAGTACTGCCACTTTCCTGATGTCTGTTTGACTATCTCTGGGGATGGACTCTGCTTTCGTCTTATCGCTAGTGTTTAGGACACTGCCACATATGTTAGGTAAATGAAATACTTTAAACACCTATATTTGATTTTAATACTTTAAAACAAATATTTTTAAATGTCTTGTTAATCATTGCATCATATTGAATGTATTGTAGAGATTTAGCATTGGTGTATCCATTAGACTTAAATGTATTCCAGGGTGACCTGGTGATTTGGTGACCCTTTGTTGTGTTAAGGTAAATCATCACTAGTTGAGGATCTTAGTCACTTTTGTGCCAGGAAGGAGATGGCCGTGTTTTTTCACATCTCTCTTTGAGCTAAGTAGTATTTTTCCTTCCATAAAATGAAGTGATGCCAAGAGGCTGGGTAACATTTCTGAGGCTACATGATTAGCCCCTGGTGATACTGTCATTTGAACTTGGCTTCTTTAACTTCTGCCTAGTGCATTCTCCATGATATTAAATAAGGTAAATGCATTTGAAATACTTAGCACAGTGTGTGACGTGTACAGCCCGTGAATGGTAGTTGCTGTTATTATTATATCAGAATGTCCTCTCGAGATCTGAGAATCTGTCCCATGCATGTGTTATTAAAGTAATCTGTAATGAACTTATGCAGACTTACTTTTAGAATTGAGCTCTCTTCCATGATTATTCCAGTCTTATGAACAACTGGGTCACTAGTGGTTAAAGCCCTAGGAGTTTGTGGTAGTTACTTTTCTCTCATTGCAGAGACAAAATATCAGAACCCAAAGCTAAAGGGGAAAGGGTTTAATTAGCTCACAGTTTGTAGAGGTGTCAGTCCATAATCAGCTGGCTCCAAGGCAGAGTGGCACGTGGTAGAGGGGCTTTGCAGAGGAGAAACAGTTCATGGCACCCACAAGGTAGCAAAAGCAACCAGGGAACCTTATCTGCCCCTTTTATCTTTTTCAGACTACTTAGGGTGTGTAGCACTCACACCCTTAATCCCAGTGCCTTCAGGCCTAGTAACCCCACCAGCAATCAGTCACACACTCTAGATTCAACCAGGTCTGGAAAAGCATGTGGCTTTGAGGGGACATCTAAGCACAAGCCATAACAGATCTTAAGCTCCACTCTCAAGTCACCCCTTTTTCCTTCTTGGGATAGGTCTGAGGAACTTTCCAGTATCGGGTCTGTTGGACTTTTGCTGCAGGTTTTTTATATTATACATCTGTATGTGTATGTATGTGTGTGTGTGTGTGTGTGTGTGTGTGTATATATATATATATATTCATAATAAAGTAGATAGAGACCCATCCATCTTTGTAGAGAACTCTTTATTCTTCATTTCTCTTGCTGACATAAATCTTCCCCTCTTCCTATTGCTGGCTGTTGCAGGGGCTGTGAAAGTCAGAATATGCTTTTAACTCCCAGGTCAGTGAATACAACTCTGCTAAGCTCCCAAAAGGCATTGGCTGTTTCTTCCAGGTTCATTCAGTTTATTTACAGAACCCAGGACTTCTGCATTCATTTGTTAGAAAAGAAATAGGAGGAATCCCTTGATCTCAGTTCTGTCTCTGTAATTGATCTACTACAAACAACTGATATGCAAAGTGAGACACAGCAGTTCCCCATACTATGTATTCATTGGTGGAACTGTCACTGCTCTCAGGGTACTTACTGTACCTGTGAAACTTGACAGTTGGAGAAAATCAAATCTCAAATTGGAACCAATGTCTATCAAATTTCAAGATCCATGCCATGGTCTCTAAAGTCTGAGTCCTGGCTGGGAAAGCAACCATTGGCTGTTTCTCCTTTGTATGGGAAAGCACACAGTCTCTCTGAATCTAGTTACTTCTTTCTTCAATAGGTGAGTTGTGCTAAATGAGCCTAATGTGTTTTCCAACTTTAAATATATGCTATGTGTTGTAAATCAGTCATACCTTAGTAAAGTTTTTAAAAACCCGATTTTCAATTAAAAATGTCGGTTTGAACTTAGCATGTATCTTCTTTATCTCCCAAAAGCCCACTAAGAATTCATATTACTGAAGAGTCAGGTCTTCTTTATTCATATATCTTATGCCAAGGTAATAAACCTCTGTTCAAATAGTTTTGTTTTCATTAAATAAAAATGCACTATTTTAAATGTTCAGAGTGGAGCTGTATGACACATTAACATTTTTTTTTCTTTTCACAGGAAAGTATTTAAGAAATGTATGGAGTAAAATGAGTCAGAGTAATGTAGGATCTGTAGGACATCCCTCAAGAGAGTTGGTGAGAGGATAAGAATTTCTATTTTCTTCAAACATATTGTATAATTAATTTTTTATTTATTAATTATTGTATAATTAATTTTCTGACTGTAAACTTCATAGCCTTGTGCCCACAAGAGACATTTTCCTCAATCTTTTATTATTATGTGATTTCCAGCCTTACTAATGGTAGAAGTTGTAATAGTTATCCAAAGCTTTGGTGTATTCTTCACTTTTGCCAGAAAATGTAGATTTTATATAAATAACAGTATTTATAATGATATAGATACAGGCCCATCTGTCTCTCTAGGGAGTTGTCTTTACACTTCAGATGTTATTACCAATGACTAAAATGCCATAGCCCAAAATACAAAAAATATAAAACATCTATACTCGGGCATGTATTATTTATTTGCCAAGTACTGTTTCTATATTTTTAATGCAAATTGGAATCAAATTTGATTGTTCTAAGATCTGACGAATTATTTTCTACCATTCCAGTCTTAGGAAAAGAAGAATTTCTAGACTCTTCATCAAGCTCTTCATTTATACAACTGTTAAATCCAAAGAGACGGTGGTGAAAGCATGAATAAAAATACATCTCCTGCAGTATCATCCAGTCTACTTCAAAAGTAATTTTTAAGTTAAATTCAATATATTTAAAAATATTATAGTTTGAAATATGTAGACTATTAATGATCATGTAATTAAAAGAGTTTTACAGCTAGCTGTAATGTGCTCTGGGATAGCATTAATGAGTTAAATAATACAGAGTTACTAGTGTTTCACTGTGTTTTAGTTTACCATTGCTGTAACAAAAATGTTTAAGATAATCAACTTGTAAGGAGGAAAGATTGACTTTGGCTCACGATTTCAGAGGTTTCAGTCCATGATTGCTTGGCCTTATTGCTGGGGCAGCATAGTTGTTCATCATGGAAAGGAGTTGTTCATCATGGAAAGGTGGAAATGGTCTGTTTACCTCATGGCAGCCAGGAAGCAAAAAGATAGGAAAGTCTCAGGTCCCCGTATTCCAGTGAGATAAGTATGTATGAACTGAGGGCAAGTATCTTAAGGGGGATTAATGATAATGAGTCTTTTATTGTAGTAAAATTTATATATACAGTGGATCCTCGAGTTATGACCAGTCTCGCAGACAAACAACTTGGGTTATGACCGGAATTTTAGTTTTAACTCACAACCAAAGTCTTGAGTTACATGACCTGAATGCTGGCTGCTTGTGTGGTTGTAAACAAAGACTTACAGTGCCAGAAAAGCATATGTAAGAGTATGTAAGCGTCAGTCTGAGCCCAGATGGGCCTGTTTGTAGATATGATTTTGGTCAGTGCTTCATATAATCCTACAATTACTGCTATCAAAATGGCCCCCAAAGCTAAGGAAGGAAAGGAAGGTAAAGAAAGCAATCACAATCAAAAAGAAGAAGGAAATTGTGGAGAAATATGAGAGTGGCATTCATGTGACTGATCTCACTAATATGTACAGCAAGTCAAAATCCACCATCTCGGCTATCTTACAGAGAAAAGATTTGTATAAGGAAGCTAGTGTTGCTAAAGGTTTTACTCAAATTAGTGAGTCACAGTTGACAGTGTTAGATGAGGTAGAAAAGCTATTATTGGTGTGGATAAATAAAAAGCTGATGGCAGGTTATAGCCTATCTGAGTCTACAGAGGAACTTCAGCAACTTCTGGCTGAGCAACAGAAAATGGCAGCTGAGGAGCTTTCTGAAGAGGAGGGGGAGCATCAACAGTCAGTGCAGCAAAGTTCTTCTGATATAAAGGAAATCCTGAAAAAATGGACAGAGCTACAGACATTTGTAGAGAAGACCCACCCAGACAGAGAAAAAGCCAATCATTGCATTCACTTGCTTAATGAGAGTGTCATGTCACACTACAGAACAGTGTTAAAGAAAAGACAGAAACAGACAACCTTAGGCCAGTTTTTAATTCTGCAAAGGTTGAGACCTAGTGAGCCAGAAGCAGGTCCTAGTGGGCTACCGACTCTCCCAAGGAAAGGACACCAGAGAGCCAGATTCCTGATGTTCTTACAGAAAGGGATTCTCCTTCTAAACAATAACCACCTTCCATTTCATCTTCCCTTCTTGAAAGCCAAAGATGTCAACATCAATTGTGAATGCAATATGAAATTGTTATATTTGGTAAAGTAGGCACATATTATAATGTTTTTGTGAATACACTAGAAAGATTATTGCTGTTTCTAGTAAATTACACACATTATACAACCCTCTTTTAATTATGAAAAGGTTAGTTAAGGGATGATTTGGGGGGTTCAGAACACATTATGAGTATTTCCATTATTTCTTATGGGAAAAATAGTCTTGACTTACAACCAACCTGAGTTACAAACAGCCCTTGTGAATGAATTGAATTTGTAAGTCCAGAGCCCACTGTATTTGGATTCTACTCTCCAGAATGTTCTTAGAATCTAAATCATTTTAATTTTTGAAGGAAATGGCCTTCAAAATGTTATTGAATTCTTTTTTTTTAATTTTATTTTATTGGTACATTTTAGGTATACAATATAATGACATTCATCATTGGAAATTTGCACCTTTACAT